TATATATATATATATATATATTTAATGAATGTCTCACTCTTCAATGTCTCATGCCATGTCTTAGCGCTGAGACATTACTGTGATTGCTATTAATTTAAAAACTATTGTAGTCTTGACATTTTTATATTAAGATTTTTGTCTCTAAATTATTTTATCTCAAGAGGAAATGCCTTTAAAACGAAATGCATTTGTTTGTATCAGTTTATTGCACTATTACTATATAAATATGAATTAAACTGAGTGAACGTGATATGGCAGACAGCGCACTGGTCTGTCATGCCAAAAGTCCCGGATTCGATCCTGGTAGAAAATACTTATGCTGCTCTCGGTGTCTCATCTCGGAAAGGACCCGCAGAGTATCCTTGCCACAGAAACACTTCTCTACAGAAAAATCCGTCGTTCGGAACCGAATTATTAAAACTGTAGGTTCCATAATGCTTGTAGCAATTGAATAAATTGACGTGCTCACAAGCATATGTGCGTAACACAGGTCAGAAGCCTGATGTAAGAGGAAGGACAAGAAGCAAAAGAAGAAAAAGAAGATAAATTAAACTCTATAATAAAATTTATAAAAAAGATCAAATATCAATAAAAACGGTAAATAAATATAAATGCTATAAAAATGTGAATGAAAATTAATCTGTAATGAGTATTATAGTAAATAAAATGAAACAAAAATAATTTTTTGAATTTATTTTATCTTTCGAAATTCGATTTTCTACAACCTTTTATATTTTAATATTGATATTTTGATATATCAATGTCAAACTTTCCATTCTCAAACATTGATTTGAAATAGCTGATGAGAAAAAGCTAAATCATTGCAAAAAATGATTGTGAGATCAAATAGCATTAAAATCTTTGTCATGTGCTCTTCTTAAATGATACTTTTTGGCCTTTACGTTTGTTTGCTTGGAAAATTGGACCAATTTTTATTTATGATTATGATTATGATTTAATTTTTGATTTAGAAAATTTATAATTTTATCAAATTTTATGTGACCAATCAAAGAAAATCGACTTTTTAAACATAATTGAATTTCAGAAGGAGTTTATTAGGAAAGAGCATCACTGACAATAATTGAGGAGATGGGCGGAATAAAGGCACAACTCTACTTAGGCCCTTTTTTCGGCAATTAGCTTTTTCATGTAATATTTATCGTAATACAGAAGTATTGTAACATGTAACTTCTTAAAGATATTACATAAATTCATTTAATATTGTACCCATTTGTGTATAATAAAAAAGTAGCAAGTTATTTTAATTTGTATTAATATCAAGATTTTGTAATTAGGTCTGTATATTCCACCCCTCCTCTCAATTAGATCCACCAAAGAATATAAAAAAAGGCATCAAGTATATTTTGCAAAAAAAAAAATCAAAGATAAAAAAGTAAATACAGTTCTCCGAGCGACATCTTGAAGACATCCTTATGATGTAGACATCTTTTAAGACACCTTTAAGATTGTTATATGCGATAATTTCTTACAATTATAATAGATTTTACAAAGTATGGATGACATTTAAAGTGTATAAAGTATAACAATACATTAAAATAAGAAATGAAATGCAATAAAGTAATAAGAGATGCAGTAATTGAAAAGGGGTTTTTACATCGATAATAAGTAAAAAATTGTAGAGACAAAAAAAATCGAAAATTAGCAGTATCTCCAGAAGCAGCATACTTGACGCGTCCTTATTCATATTTCTTGTTCATATTTCAATTCATGCAAATAATTCAATAAATCTTTTATTATAATTATAAATTATTTTTCGCAAATTAAAGAAATTTAATATACACTCAAAATTGGCAAAAAAAAAAAACGAGCCATTAAATTTTAGCACAAATTTTTAATATTTTAAATCGTAATAACTCAATGAAAAATCATCGTATCAAAATGTGAATCACAGCTCAAATTAAAGTTTGAATATTCTTTTTGATGACCATCACGATCAAATTTGAGTTACACAAAATGTAATACAATGGCGGACAAAATAGTTAAAAAATTTTTTTCTTTAAACTGTTGTGCTATTCAGGGGAATCGGCTGCATGGCACAAAAGTATATAAGTCTTTAAGCTCATTGATTTCTAAACAAATCATATTTTGAATATTTTTCTACGATTTTTTTGCGTCTGTGAAATTAGCACCTCAACATTGAAATTCCATAGTTCTGATTAGAGTTCATGTCCTTTTGTCGAGACGAAGAGTTCTCTATAATTTATAACAAGAATTCCGCTTAATAACTATTTTTAAATAATTTTTAAAAAATGGGATGCTTCTCAGCGAAATTCGAGATCGAATAGTTCTGGGCAGCTTAATAGCTCTATTTTGTGAATATCTAAAGTTCCTGATATATAAAAAACAATTTTGACACACAAGAAAATTTATTTAAAAAATTTTTTTTATAAAATAGTTCTGTGACATTAATTGTCATTCTAACAATTTCGAAGAGTTCTTGATTAAAACCAGTACAAACTCAAAAATAAAAAAGATATACATTTAAAACGAAATTTGAAAAATCGGTTGCAGAAGTATTTCCTTATGTAATCATTCAATCGCTTTGTGACATAATTTCGACAGAACTCGTTGAGAACTACACAGAACTCTTAAAAAATTTTTCGACATCGGACTTATTATTGTTCTCAATTGCAATTATCTATTTATTTTGTTAAATTCTCGATAGCTCGGTTTTCTTTATTATTATTTATAAGTACTATCGAGTGCAATTTTACATTTTTATAAAAGGAATAAATATATTATGTAATTTTTATAAACCACAAATATACTCATTTCTAAAAATGTAAATTAACTTTAGTGTCGATTTATTTTATTCTTCATGTTGTTCTAAATCTTACAATCAGGAAAAGACGGAGTGTTAATTAAATCAAGATTAAAATTAAGAGTTGATAAAAAGGCATAAAACATTGCAGCAGTTTAAAGAAAACATTTTTTTAAAACTATTTTTTCGATGCCGCCTATAACGTCCGTCATTTTGTATTACATTTTATGTAATACAAATTTGATATCGATGGTCATCAAGGGGAATGTTTAATTTGAACTGTAATTCTTCTCGATACGATGATTTTTTATTGAGTTATCCCTATTTAAAAATATTAAAATTTGTGCTAAAATTTAGTGGCTCGTTTTTTTTGTTGGTGAGTGTGTAAGTATATTCAAGTTATTATTTTAATATTGATATATTTCATATTCAACAAATACAAATATTTTTCTATGAGATACTCTTAAATTTTTTTACTGTAGTAATAAAATCTGAAGTTTATTACAGTAATATTTATAGTAGTATTTATTTATAGTAGTTATTATACGACATAATATTATTGTCTTAA